CTTATTAGAATCAAGGGCATTTGTGAGTTAGTGGAGTTAAGATGACAATATTCCAGACTTGAATACACGATAGAGAATTTCATTATAAGATGTAAAGCCTGTCTTACTAAACTGTGCCTTGTATTTTTCTCATTTTCTAATAGGTACAGTGTCTGTATGCATCTTGATGGACGTTTGGTAAATGCTTATCCTGTAATTCAAGCACGAATATTTTACTGAAGATTTGCAGTGGTTCTGCAGATTGAATTGGTATGCAATAGCAAAATTCGCTGAAAGTTTTGAAATGGTTCCTGGAACTCTGGCTAAGAATGCTGGGCTAAATGCAATGGAGATCATATCTTCTCTTTATGCTGAACATGCATCTGGGAATGCCAAAGTTGGCATTGACTTGGAAGAAGGGGTTTGTGAGGATGTCTCGACCATGAGCATCTGGGATTTGCACATGACTAAGCGGGTTACTTCTTGTTCTGCTTCCATGCGTCGTTTAGACTTTGTGATTTCTCTTGTTGAAACCCCTCTACTGAAATAAGTATTATCAAAGTGGCTCTTCATTATTGGCACTGGCAGAGAATGTAGATTTACCTAAATGACCTGAAAAATTTTAAGATGAATGATGGATTCTATTGTCCACTGCTTCATTTGAATTATAGTTCAAAGTCGGGTTTCATCATTATTTTTTAATGTTCAGGTTCTTTGCTCTTAAGCATGCTGCAGATGCTGCGTGCACTGTACTACGGGTGGATCAGGTAATTTACTGGAATGTAGTAGTAATAAATTGATTTAATGATCTTTTTAAGGATGGACCTCTGGCATTGTTCGATGTATCTCGCAAAACCTTTATTTTTGGGTTTGAGACATTGTTGTAGGATTGCTTCTTGTTTGATCATAGGCCCAAGTGCGTAATTCACAAACAAGTTTAGAAGAATCTTATAGTTAATGAATATCTGATCACATGCTATGGGTAAGTAGCTCCAATGATGTGGATTCTTTAATTGGTTATTTCTTAGTTTTTCATATTAATCAGGTGGGTCTCCTTTACACTGGATGAAATTCGTGAAATAGGTTGTTTGTGGCTTGTAAATAGTGTGGTTTATTGTAAATTGTATTTCTTATACTGAATAGATTTACTGGTTTGACTTCTTCAATGATACTTAACTGAATTGAATAATACTATACATGTGCCATGTGATATGGTGTTTAACACGTTAAAGCACCTGAGGTAGCTTCTGGGAATTGGATTTGGTAGGTGATATTCATTGATTGGCGATAAAACTGATTGGCCATGTTGTTCTTGAATAATTGCTGATAATTGAGAAAGCTTGCTTATGTGAAGTTGTATCAGCTTGATATTAATTTGTTGAAGCATAATTTTTTGGGCGTTTTGATGTTTTTAGGTCATTATGCTCAAACCGGGAGGTGGCCTATGGAGAGATCAACCTGGGAACATGGATGAGGAATAAATTTATGAGATAATTGACTTTTACAGCGTACTTGATCAAATCCTTCATTTAAATATATAAAAATTTTTGAATTTAAATTTAATTTAAATTCAAATTCATTTCTCTTTATAATTTTTTTATAATTTTAAATTCTCTTTAGACCTTAATTATTTAAAATTTCAATCATTTTAAACATTTTTTTTCATATTTTTACTGTTAATATCTCTATGACTCTTATTTTTTTCTCATATCTTATTCTTATCTTTTGTTGATTAAAATAAAGATAAACTAGTCATTCTTAATTTTTCACTTTTGTTTTGAATTTTAACTCATCTACTTCATTTAAAATTTTTTAAATTATCCAAACAAAAAAAAATACATGGATTTTAAATGTACGATTTGATATGCAAAATTTTAAATTCAAATTAAAATCTATCAAAAGTTTTCTTATTTTATTTGCTATGTTGTGTACATAATGGGCAAAAATAGATTAGATAGAGTTAGGTTTTGGTCAAATAGGTCTGTTTTCGTGTAATAAGTTAGAGGCTTGCTTAGCCTGATACTTGTATAAGGTTTTTTTCATAGCTCAAATTTAAGTTTACTTAAAGCTTGGCTTGATTTAAAAACTTATTTAAAAGCCACTTAAAAATAAATATTTTAAATAGGCTCGCATTTTAATTTTAAATTTTTTAAATATACTTTGAGATTATTAATATATAATATATAACTAATTTATCAATTATAATGTATAATAATTAAAAAGACTTACCAATGACAATACAACACAATATAATAATAAAGTAATAACATTAAAATTAATATAGAAATATAATCAGATTGAAAGCATAATTAAAAATAAAAAAGTATAAATTAATTAAAAATTAAATGATAAAACTAATGTATATGCAATATATTACATTATATAGGGTTGTTAGGTTCGTGGATTAGACTTTTAAAAAAATAAGCTTTGTCTATTTAGTTAAATTGATCTAACTAAAGGTTTAAACTTTATCTGAGTTTATTTAATAAATAAGTTAGGTTGGATTTAAAATAGATCATGAAATATCTTTTGTGTATTCATCTCAAATCGTGTCTTGACTGTTGTACTTGGTTTAGGCATCTTCTTCTACAATGTAGGATTATAGATACCTTTTTAATTTTAAAGTGCTTGGTTAAATGGCATATGATGTGTTTTGTAAGCGTCTTCTTTCATGGGATTATTCAAGTGAGCGGTTGTGGCTAGTTATTTTATAAAATTTTTGTGGGATTAAATGATCCAGATTTTTCATTTTTCATTTTATTTTATATTTATTAAAATAAAAAATATAAAATTTTAATAAATTTATTTTATCATTAATCTAAATAATATAAATTTAATCTGAATGATTTAACTTAATATTAATTTTTTTAATTTTTATAAATTGATTGTTTAGATATATTAATAATTCAGTCTGTTCAAAATATATTTAAATAATTAATTTATAATTTTTTTAAATTAATATTAAATTAAATTATTCATATTAAATTTATATTGTTGAATGGATGGTAAGATAAATTTATTAAAATTTTATAATTTTTTATAATAAAAAAGAACAAAAGTTATAAATCAGGACCGTCCATATTCTTCATCTGACCGATTCGTATGGACTTGATGAGCATCGATGAGCACCAAAACCGGACTCATCCGAACACACACTTGCGGAGGTAAGGATGAGCCTTAGCATCATGCTACTGAACGCTGTGTGTGGAAGCTGTTGAAGCAGCTTCTTTCTTGTCTTCCATGGCTTTTTTTCTATCCTTATCACTTCCCAAATTGAACCTAGTTAGGGCCTCCTCAGCATCTACTTCCACACCCACTCTCACTGCTCCAGAGGCCCTTACTGAGAAATTTGGTAGGAAAGGCATCAAGTTCTTGGTATCCGATAACACCCCCCTTGTTGAGCTCACTGTTAGAAATGGCAGCTCCGTGAGACTGCACATACCAGATGCTCATGTCACTTCCTACAAACCAAAAGTCTACTGGAAAGATGATGGCTTCGAGGAGGTTCTATATACTCTCCCAGCTGGTGGAACAGGCTCTTCTAAACATAAGGGTGGGATTGGTTTGGTCTTGAATGAAGTGTTAGAACCCGGATCTAAAGAGTCACTTCCCTCCACTTTAGAGTGGACCGTCAGTGATGTTGACTCTGATGCCATTGATGCTCTTCAGGTATCATCTTAATTCCCTTTTCCTCTGTTTCTGGATCATCGGCTGCCATACAGTGCTCTGTTCCTCCATGTTTTCAATGTTTAAGTTTTAACCTTTGGCACTAACACTCAGAAATTGAAAGTGGGTTTCTGCCAATGTTGCCATCTTTCAGGTTGAATTGAGCTACACTAGTAGAACAATTGACATCACCTACGTTGTAACTCTGTATCCAATGAGCTTGGCCACAGCAGTCATAGTAAAGAACACAGGTCGAAAGGCTTTGACCCTAAGCAATGCCGTACTTAGCCATTTTAGATTTAAGAAAAGAGGTGGGACTGCAATCCACGGTCTCCGTAGCTGCTCTTACTGCCCACACCCTCCTCCATCTTCTCCTTTTCAAATCCTGACTCCAGCTGAAGCAATGAAAGTTGAGTCTCCTGGATGGCTTACCTTCGAGTCTGAGGCTGAAGAGAAGCAAGGCAAGTGGTCTCAGCAGAGTGTGCCTTTTACCATTCTTGAGAACAAGATAAGCAGAGTTTATGCTGCCCGTCCAACAGAGAGATCAAAGGCATTTTATAACAGTCCCCCTTCCAAGTATGAAACTGTTGATCAGGTAAGAATGCATAACCCATTGTATGAGTTATGCATTGAAGAATTTTGTGTTTAATAGTTTCTGGTTTTTCCAGGGACGTGAGCTGAGCTTTAGGGTGATAAGAATGGGTTTTGAGGATATATATGTGTCTAGCCCGGGTTCATTGTCAGAAAAGTATGGAAAGGACTACTTTATCTGCACCGGTCCTGCTTCAGTTTTGGTGCCTGTCACTGTAAATCCTGGTGAACAATGGAGAGGAGCACAAGTTATTGAGCACGATAATCTGTAATTGCATTGATAAAATTTGACATGTACAAACGCATCCTCGCTGCTCCCGTTCATTCTTCCTCCTGTCCCTCCTTCCTTTTTGTCGTGGCAGGATTATCTTATTTTTTCCACAAGTTACGTTCAAGTACACCATGCTTGCAAAGTTTCTACGTTATGTATTCTTATATATGTCAAACTGCAGCAGCACTCAGGATATGATTGTTCTGCTGCAGCTTTAGGAAATGTAAAGATTTAACCCTACAGTCTTAGCCGTTCTGCTTGACATGAGAGAAAGCTGTTCAATTAGAGAAATGAAGAAAAAGAGTAAATATGGAATGATGCCTCCTGCATCTTTTCGGGATTTCTCCAATTCAACCTCATTATTTTATGCTTCCTGCAAAATTGTGTGGTCATTCACTCAAGCAATGCTGCAATAGCATGGAATAGAACCAATGTGATGGAAGTCTTTTCAAGTCTTCATATTTCCAGGTTTAAACAGAAGAATATATATCGTTTCTTTACTGGACTATACTTACAAATTAAGACGGCATAGACTCTACCTTTTAATGTTCAAATGGTTCCTAAGAAATGGAGTAAATTAAGTAAAGATAAACCCTTTGCAATGGATGATGAAATTGAGGATCATATTGTTTTTCGCACTGTATATATTGGTAAAGGAAAAGGCTAAAACCAACTTGTTAGAAAAGGACAAAAGGTAAGCAGAAATATCTTGAAATAGCTGAAATGTTCCACAGAAATAACAAAAACGACAATAGCTGTCATCTTATCCACTTACACACCAATTTCAGCTTCTTTGCCTCCAGAATGCGTCTACTAAGCCTAACTCTGGTATGAAGCATGACCATGGCTTCTAGCTCACCTTTTTGCCCTCTTCATTTCCCTCCCACATTCATCCCAATACCTGCAAGACAAACAACACACGCTTGTTTCCCTTGCAATAGTTATATTCCATATAACCACCATTCCAAGAGAGAGTTTCCAATCGCACCAGTGGCTTCAGTCCCATACCAACCACTCAATTTAGATTACCTGGAAGGAGAATTCAGTGGGCATGGAGTCACTTTTGAAGGTGTTGGTGAAAGCTGCATCGCCAAGATGGAACTGCAAAATGGAAGCACTGCAACTCTGATGCTTCCAAGCGGATTGATCACCTCCTACAAGTCCCCTATGTGGCATGGGGAAAAGATGGAGCTGCTGCACACAGCAGTTTCAGAGGGAGAAGATGGTCAAGCCATCATTCAAGGAGGAGTGTCTCTGAACTTTAATTTTCAAACTGATGATGGTGAAATTTCTTGGTCTCCAACTAACTGGGTGCTTCGTGATGTTAAAGGCAATCCTGAGGAATCAATTCAAGTCTGTCTGCCCTTGTCCGATTTATCATGGTTTTTTTAGTTGTTTACCCAGAAAGCTTTTTACGCATGCCACATGACCATTTGCAGGTAGAATTGATAAGCAGAACATTAGAAGATATGGTTGAATTGAAGCATAGTGTGACTCTGCGAGGAGATACTTTAAGGTCAGAGCTTGAAGTGACAAACTCCAGGTCTTTGCCTATTCAGATGGCAGGATCCATCCTGAGTCATTTGACAGTGAGCACACCAGATGCAACTTATGCAGTGGGATTGGAAAGATCAGATTACTGCAGCAAACCGCCATTTGCATCAGAATTCTTTTTGAGCCCTCCAGATTTTAGCCAAGAAGGTTTGGGCAAAGTATGGAATTTATTGGCTCAAAAACAACTCTTTCCTCACTGGGGCGCAAAAAATCAAGACTATAACCAAGCAGAAAGCAGCCAATTAGAAAGTCATGGAGATGCCAACGTTGAAGAAATGGACAACTACAAACATTTAGGAGAGCGAATGAGTCTGATATACACAAATGCACCTCGAAGTTATACTGTGATTGACAGGGTACGTATCCATCAATCATTCCCAATATCTGGAAGATATGAACCTACTAATCTCCCAAAAGATTTCCTGTAATGTGATACTGGTTAGGAATTAATTAAGATCTAAAAGATTTTCCTGTGGATCAGGGTAGAAGGAATTCAGTGCTAGTGGGAAGGAATGGATTTGATGAAATGTACCTATTCAGTCCAGGCTCAAGCGTTGAAATCTACAGCAAGTATGCGTACATTTGTGTTGGCCAAGCAGCTGTTCTGAAACCAGTACTACTGAAACCTGAATGCGTGTGGATAGGTGGGCAGAGTATACACAATCCAAATCAATGACGTATATGCTTAAGTTTTTCGCTATAAAAAAAAACAGTTAATTGTTATTTTTCTTTCCCTTTTGTTTTAAGGAAAAAAAGTTTGTTATGCTTTTTTCTTCCCTTTCGGGGCGGGAGGATGGAGGAACTATATTGTTTATGAATATAGAGATTGTGCAGATTGAGCGATACTATTTCTTGCCAAGCAAAACGACCCACAATGGTGAGAATCCAGAATTAGGATTACGAATGGATGTAATATTTGCACAAAAACGACTTAAATGCAAACAAAATCAATAACACAACGAGTTTCCCTTGTATTGTGAACAAGGAGAATCATAATTAGAAAAGGATATTTTGTGAGCCTTGGCTTCTTTTCATAATGACTATGCCACTTCAAAAATAATAATAATAATAATTGGTCAGAAATAATAAGAGTATAATATATAACAAAAGCATACCATATATCTCAAAATCTCTGTGCCAGGAAAAATAAACCCTTTTCTCGAAAGGATACGCACAGCATGGATTAGATCTTTTACTCTGACTTTGAACTTCCCAACATTTAGACGAAATTTAACACGATACATTTACAAGTCATAAAATCCTCTGTCGAAAATTTTATAGTTCTATACTTGTATATCAATTTATAGTTCTATACTTGTATGTCAATCGTCATCTTTATCTTCAGCCTGCACATCAGATAGCGCATTAAGTAGGGGCCAGATAAGAATCATCTTCAATGTTGATCCAAAGTAGAGGAAACATTGCAAGTAGAACAAGAGAAAGGCCAAAAATCAATTTCAGTTTAGTCTTTTGGAGTGCCTTTTTGATGCGAGCTGCACTCTGAGCATCACCGCTCTTTGGGGGAACTGTCTCGGAAGGCCCCTGCAAGTCAGCACCAGCAGGAAGGTCTTCTGTCGACGAAACTGATTCTGGCCCACCTTGAAATTGTACATCAGCATATAAGCTATCGTTATGATTGCACTCATAGCCCAGATTATGTGGAAAATACTTGTGGTCATAGCTAGATGTTGGACTCCAATCCATATTGCCTGAGGATAGATTCCTCAACCTTCTAATTTGTCTCTCAGAGCAACTCGACTTTATATCACTTGATACTGGAGAGCGTGAATATGCTTTGTAGGGGTTGTGAATGTTTTAATACTGTCTGGGGTAGCAAGGGCACGTGACCTCTGGATTACGAAGAAGAGACAATATGTTACTTAATGATTTTCTTAAGAGATCATTGAAGCTTCAGTTAAAAGAACAGACACAATTTAATTTGATATTCTGCCTAAAAATTGGATCTTATACTGTCAAATGATGGATGTACATTACTAGTTTCTAGTGCACTCCTAAACTACATGCAACTCTTTTTCTTTTTTATTGGCAGCAAAGGGATACATCGGGGCCGGGTGGCCATAGTAACTAATAAGGGCAAACTCTAGGAAGAACATGCAAACTATGCTTTTTTGCTCAAGTACTACTAACAAACTGAAAACTGAGTTCTTCAATGATCTAGTTTCTTCAATGATCCGAAACCAGAAGTTGAACATGTGACCAGCAGATGCAATTATCTATTCCAGGATTTGAAATAAAATATCTTCAAATAAAATATGAAAATTGGCTGAGAAACTTACTAGGGGACTTTTGGTGTTACTTCTTAATACTCCATGCTTAGGATTCAAAGACCAATGCTCTTGGTTCAGGTCCTGAGAAGCTTGTTTCGTTAATATTGGCGACTCAACAATCGATTCATATCCAGGGAAATAGCCCATGATATCGGGTTCCGGTGAGATAGATGCAGGAGAATGGTCCTCATCACCAGAAACATCTTCCCCCTCCCTTCTACTTAAGTTTGACCCAGCACTCGAATCATGACTTTTTACATACCTCGACTTCTTGTCAAATGCAATTTCCTCAGCGGCTTGCAAAACTTCAAATGCTGCAGCCGCAACATATGCCATTCTATCACACTGACACTTCTCCATCGCCTCAATAATCAATTGAAGCTCGGAGAATACACTCCTGGGTTCCAAAAATTTGATCAAGGAGTTCAACATTTGAATGGCTGACAAGTGCCTTTGAGAATTCCGCTCCTCATGACCAGCATTCAGTATTCTTAGTCCAGATTGTATGAGCAACCTTGCATAGGCTTCAACAATAAACGCATTGCGCTTTGCTAAGGCCGTAACTAGACCCATGTGTGAATTGGTCTGGGTGAGCTTTCCATCTAATGCCACAGCGACATTTTGGCAAATCCTACTGACCATTTCATCTGAAACAAATCGCCAGCTATCAGAGTCCACAAGAGCGTTTAAGCAAAGGGCGCTCCTGAAGTTAAGCTCTCTTGGGAACTTGAGAGAGAATCAGAAAGAGGCATACAAAGTGAATGAATTATATGCCTCTTCTTCTCTTCCGGGGTTGTGGGTTCAATTCCATATCTAGCAATTGCCAGAACCACCCTTGAGCAAGCTTGATGAAGAGGAAATGACCCCGCACTTGAAGCTAAGGCCTGCACTATGGATTCTGTGATATTGTCGACCATGGGAACAATTTTGACACCGTGAACTCGAGCAAGAACTTCATATAGTGAAATCAGAAATTCTCCAGATAAAGAACCGGTTTCGTTGATTTCAGAAATTTGGTTGAGAAAGGCAGGAATGGTCTCAAAATCCAAATCTTTCACGTATGCTCGTAACGCTTCCATCGCAGATTTTCGACTATCTGCATCCTTTTCAAGATTTTCCAGCTCTTGCCACAGTATTGGACCGAGATTTCTTTCCATTGTGGAGCTCAAACTAACCAGATGCCACACAACAAGTTTGTTTAAATAAAAAAGGAAAAAAGAAAAGGTGAATCTCGCAAATATTTCATGCTCTTGCAGAATAGATATCAAAATATTAGCTTCTTTTTCTAAAATAAATGAGATTTGCCCTTTTTCTTTACGTATTAGCCTCTTTTTCTAAAATAAAAGAGAATGATATATCAAAATATTAAATGTTTATGCTAAAATTTCTCTGCTCGACGCTAAAGCAAGAAATGAAATAAAACAAGAATTTAAAAAGTCAAAGAGTCATGCAGGCATAAGCATCTTAGACAACATATTTTAGAGATAGTTTTTTGTTCTTTAAAATAAAAAAATAAAAAAATTTATTTAATAACGTATTTTAAAAATATATTTAAAAAATAAAAAAATAAAATATTATTTTAAAAAATTAAAAAATAAAAATAACTTTCAAGTGTTTTGAAATTATTGTTTTAGAAAATAAAAAAGAATGAGAAAATACTTATTTTTATTATTTTTTTATTTTCAGAACATGTTTATAAAACACAATTATCAGAATAATAAAATAAAAATAATTTCAAACAGTTTTTTAGTATTTGAAAAATCTTGAAGCCCTCTTTTGCTTTCTTGAGCCTTGATTCAACAAACAAACAATGACCGAGCATACAAAACGCAGAAGAAATAGCTTAGCAGTGCGCTAACGTGTTCTTAATTTCACCACAATGAACAGAAATATCTTATACAGCAACAAATTGAAGGAGTATTATCATTACACCAAGGTTAGCACCCAATTCACAGTGAGCATATATACAAAATATGATTCAAACCAAGTATATAAATAGTCCTAAATAAAATCATATAATGAGAGGACCAAATAGATGATGCCAGGAATTAGAACAGAAAATTAGAAATATTATCATTACAACAGGTTTAGCATCATGTCAGGAATTAGAATTAAAAAAAAAAGTCCCACGTTTAAGCATTAAAAATAGATTATAAATATATAAATTTAGAAACTATCAAATTAAATGGTTTAAACTATTTTAATGAAGTATACTTAATATAAAAATTTTAATATGATATCATGAGTTGAGAAAAAAAAGAGAGAGAGAAAAAATAAGAAAGAACAAAAGAGAAAAAACAACAAGAGATCAAGAAAAAAAAAAAAAAAATAAAAAATTAGATAAACTTAAACCTTTTAAAATTTTAAAAAATACCAGCTCATATAAAAAGAAGAAAAAATAAAAATAATATGAGAATATAAAAAAAATTTACATTTAAATATTAAAAAAATTATAAATATATAAATTTAAAAAATATTTAAATAAATACTTTAAATTATTTTGATAGAATATAATATCTTTAAATATATTTAATATAAAAAATCAAAGTTTACCTCCAAATATCAAACCTTAAAGCAGATCTCAAAACCCAATTCTTTTCCCTAAAAAGCCCTCTCATTATAGACTTAGGGACGAAACAAGAGGCTCATAATTGGCATCAAGCCAGTATTCGAGGGTTAAGAACATACCTTAATTGGATAGGGGTCAAGACACAGTCGACGCCGGCGGCTGACCTAAGTGCCCCCCGAACCGCGCGAAATGGTTGCTAATTACACGGCTCAGTAACTCTGCCTGGGGTGCGAGGATACCTATTATTCGTCGGCGGTCCGGCGCACCCCTACTCACTTAAAGATGCTGCTAAATAGACAGTACTCCAGCACAAAGTATAAGCAAGCGTTCAGATGGACAGAAAAAATTACTCCAAGACGATGACCAATTCCTTATTTTGCAGATTATTGGAATAATTGCTCCCCCTCTGCTCTGTTTCTTTCCTAGTTCCTAGATTACAAGATGATATCGTGAAGTAGAAGAATCCTTCACCGTAAGCATACAATGCCGAAGATCATGGCAGCAGACTTTTCAGACCACATTGCGCTGAGGCAGCGGTTTGCGCTTCAACGGTGGTGGGGAAGATTTGAAGTTGGAGGTGCGCGTGGTAGAGATGGAGTGGACTCGGGCCGGGGGTGATGAAATTTCACACAGCAAAACGTTGCGTTTTATGAAAAGAGCTATAGACGTGGCAAACCCTGAAACGTAAAGATGAAACTTGCAGCCAAGATATCATTGATTGGATTAAATGCATTCTGACCCGGAAATGACTGGATCCAAACGTGCAACTTTAGAATTTCGAACGGAACAAGTTTCAAAATCTTTTATCAATATGCCGCCGCTATCCTTCCTTCGGAGTGCTTGGATGATAATACCCTCAACATTTCTCCTGTTCATAATTATATCGTTGTTCCTTTATATTCAAAATTCCGTATATTTATCTTCATTCTAAATTTTAGTCATTAGATTGACCTAGACGTTCGGATTGATATTTTTATATATTTATAACCTAAATAAAATAGGAAAAATATAAATTTTGCATTGCTAATTCAGGAGAAAAGGAATATATTTTTTAGCCGAAAGAAGAAAAGCAACGTAGTAACTATCTAAATTAATCTAGTAGTTATAAATTATTGACAGAGACAATAGAGGGAATTTAAAATGGAAATCACTCAAATTTGCTTTTCAAAGCGTTACGTTTTTTTACCTGTATTCAATGCATCATTACAAGAAGCTAAAAAAAAACCAATCATCCTAATTGTAATTCGTTGGTGGGCATCATTTGCTCTGTGTGTGTTGATCTTTCGCCGTTTTGAACACGGCGCCCCCCCCCCCCCCCAAAAATTTTTTTTTTCTCTTCTTCATTTTTCGGCTTCACATGTTGATGCGCCAGTTAAGCTTTTGTCTGAAAAATGAATTGTGTAGGTATCATAATTTGCTAACATTTTTATTATATATATTGATATATAATATGATGTTGGAAACCAGACTAAAAAGGTGAATGAGCCTGACCATGAGCAAAAATTATACATTTTTTCTCATGATAAATTTAAATTTAAGTATTATCAAATCTAATTTTTATTACAAGCAACACATGAGAAAGTTTTTTCTAAACTTGTATGTTCTGTATTTCATAACTATATTAAAAAAGACTTGAAAATGTTACTTATACCTGTCAACAAAATATATTGTTGTATATCATATTTTAACAATGTAAATACATATTTTTCAGCCAAAAAAGGCTATGCGACGTCTCGGTTGGTTATTAAAAAAAATGAAATAAATTAGATTGAAAAAATCAAAATAAAAATGAACTAAATCACCTTTCTCCTCATAACAAATATGATAAAAACTCATTAGTATATATCATAAATGTGATAATCATCACACCTTTCAAAAATCTCATGAATCTTAATTCCTAATCACAAAATATTTACCCCCTCCCTTATGAATGTAGTCCACTTATCCCTTTTGATTAGAGTATTTTTATGTTTACCTTCATATGTTCCAACAACTACTTGTCAAAAGGAACAAACTCTTGTAAACATCAAATATCACCTCTTTTTTCACAAACTTGTCCCATCTCATGAATTTATCAAGACTAACGGAGATTAATCATTGAAAGTGTGGTCTGCAAGTAGGACAATACCACTTTCCCTTGAATCTTGTTTCGGGAGTCAGGCCAACACACGAGTAATGGAACCATTCACCTCCTTGGCACTAGCAAAGAAATCAATCAAAGCTTTAAAAAACCAAAAACAACTAGGGGCTAAAAAAGAACATTATCAAAAAAATCCATTGTTCAAATAAAACAAGTTAAAAAAAACCAATAAAAGCCACTATTCAAATACAACTCATTGAAGAATCACGGCACCAATATTCATCTGTTTTCTTCCAGTAGCAAATGGGAATGTATTATGTGATTTATGAATGCATGAAATATTACAGTCGGCTTATGTGGATATAACCAGTGTCCAGGACGTACTAGGTCAACCACTAAGTATGAAGGCAAACCCTATTCACAATGGACTTTTCATCTATAAAATTAAATTTTTATCTTTCCACATTTGCATATTGATATCTACATTGAATGCATTCTCATGCACGTTCGCGTGCCCTTTTGCAGGATGTTCAGTGTTGAATTACGCCAACTTTTTATTCGGTCCCAAATTTATAAACGTTATGCATATAGTGGAGGCACGTCAAAGATTGGTGATGAACTCGCTTTGTATTCCAACCATGGCACTAATTAATTGTTATAACTTTTGGTGTAACACAAGTATTGATCTTATAATTGGTATCAAAGGGAGATCACATGTCTGAACCTAACAGCTTTGGACGGAGGGGGAGATTGTGAGCCAGTTAATAAAACTAAATCGTGCGCTTTCTAATTTTGTAACCTTTGGCATATTAGTGTGTGTCTGGTTTCACATTGAAAATTGCCAAAGCCATAACACACTCTAAGTGTCCAATCTTATACATAGGAAATCATCCTTGGCTGCAGTTAACAATTACATCTAGCCCCAAAATATCGGATGAGTTGGGTTCCCTAATAAGGTAATAATATAAAGGTACCGGAAAATAATCAAACTTGATGTGGGGGATCACGACAACTTCTAACTCTGCCAACTCGGCTTTCCTTGAAGAAAAAGAAAGAGGTGCAGCAAACATGAAGAAAGAAAGCAAAGCAAAAGGTACTCACATTTTCATTGTCACAAGCGATCATATCTCCATAAGAAACCTTAAAGATCAATATTAAAATGCAAGTCAAACTCTTATGGAGCATTTAAAGAACATTAAAAAAAACAAAATCACGTCATTGAGCACAGGGATAATAGAATATAAGAATGCACTGAAAAACAAAACAAAACCTGATGACAGATACAGTATGTAGGTTCATTCGGATCAATCGGTTGATCAATATCCATGGGAGTTGCATACTCCTTCTTATGGCTTCCTGGTGGGGGCATAAGTTCAAAATCTCTATCACGCTCCCAATCCCAATCTCTATCCCTGTAATCAAGTCTCTTTGATAGAGGTGCTCCACATAAGGATTTGCGTTTTTCACTTTTTGGGACTATAGCCAAGGGGGAGAGAATAGCTGGTTCATCTGGTGGTATTTTCCCTTCTAATGAAATTAGAAATGTGAAATAAAGAAAGATGAAAATAGATTATAACCATATAATTGACCGGGAGAACACATTACTGAGAACAACTTAAAATCTGAAACAAACGCTGCTTACGCCCGGTACTTTCTTTTGTATTACACGTTGATAATAGCTTTCTGGTCCTCTTAGCCTTTTATAACAGGATAAGTTGTTTTAGTAATTTTAAGCTGTATATGTCTGGCACAAAAATAAATCAGAATGCAAATTACATGGTTATTTTACCTTGCTTTAGATCTTCAGAAAAGTTGTTCAAATCCTCATCAAGTCGTTTTATATGGCTATCTATCTGAAGCAAATTAAATAAGACAAAAGTCGTCTTAATATGCACATGAGAAGCAAATTCCAAAAAGTTCACATGAATTATTCCCATCATTGAGCTAAGTGCTTCTCATTTCTCAAATGCATTTTTTTAAAACCTCTTTCCACAGCATGCATGCTTACATAATTAAAACTTCAAGCTATATCCTGACTGCTTGGAATCTAGACGTCTGAGTTATATAATTAAAAAATTGAGAGTTTGATGATAAAATAGCATCATATAGAATCACATGCACATACAAATCATCTAAGAAAAACTCCCAAATAAGTAAATAATTTCTAATTCAAGCTTTTAAGGAAAGGAAACGAGAAATTTGATCAGATTGATTGACTTTGAAAATCAATACCACAATCAACTTACTGTTGATCATGCAAGGATAAGTTCAAAAGACCATAACATTCACAGAGTGACTAAACAAACAAACGTTGAACGCTTGTATTTCCAACAGTAGGTGCAAGTGACTCTGGCACCCAAAAAGACATGAACTTCAAAGTGGCTCTTTTAACGCCTTATAAAATCACATATCATGAAAGGGCTGCTTTATTGATGAAGATCCACAGAAAAATAGAAATTTGCCAGATTGTACTCACTAAAATGTCAACCACCTAATATATGAAACAGCAAGGTTTATAGGAGGCGAATTGGGGTAAGACTACACGATTGGCAGGGTCATTTGGCGGGGTTCCTCTACTCTTCCTTTTCTAAGACTATTTAAAGGCCAGTTCAAGCTATTTGGTGTGATTCTGATGGTGGGTGGTCGGTAAGCGTCTCATGTTCAAACCTCCATCGTTACATATATAATAAAGCTGGTTAATGAATTTAATGATGTGCCTAAAACAAAATTTTACTCCTCAGATCTCTTTCTTCAATTTTTTTATTTCACTTTATTGCTGTGAAATGCACCAACTTATATCAATTTTTTTTTAAATAAATATATAACAGGTGAAAATACAATCAACAATTCAACATAAATGTTTAGTGTTAAGAATACACGACATAAAACAAATAAAGTGAAAAAGAAATAGGTTTTGAAAAGACAAAAAGAAACTCACCAGGTCATATGCTTGCCGCGCCAACAAAACCTTTTCGGTGCACAGACTTAGAGCACTATCCTGATTAGCCTCAATCTCTTTATGCATTTTCTCAATTGTTGCATCGTCTTCTTCGTTGGTGTTAATGTTATTATAGATATGGCTACTATTATGATTAACCTTCTTAGAGCCATATGAAGACAACCCTAAACAGTACCTAGTGCGTTGCCTGGTCTGGTTTATCATAGCTGCCATGCCACCAACGCAAACATATACACCCACCAAAACAAAGATACGTAAATACATAAGCAACGATTAGTAGATACAGACATCACAAACCAACGGCAAAAAACAACGCATATGCATTGACATAATAACGAACAGAAGCAGGATAAGGAGAACATTTACATTGGGATCTTTCATCGAGTTCCCTAATAGTGTTTAACAATCTCTGGAGTTCAGCAGGCAATGTGCTTGCATCTGTGGAAATTAAAAATTGATCATTCAAAGTAAGCCAGAATAAAAATAAAAACGAGTTTATCTAAAAGTATGAAGAAAGTAAAAATTATGGAGACTCTTACACTCCAAATAGTCGTCAACGTACACTCCTGTTCGTGAAATTGCCATTCCCTGTAATGATTAACGTAAATCTGCAATGGAAAGTCACGGGGTTGCGATTCAAACCCTAGGTGGATGCTGGCGTAGAACGGAGAAGAAAACTGCGAGACGTCGTCGTGTAAGGCTGTGCGTCTATAATGTTCTAGACGAAAACCAACGAAACAAGCGGTAAGGCAACATGACCGTTGAGTACGCGCGAGCACCCCTATTCTTCCGTCCTGTATTTATTGGGCCACAGACGGGGTGAATAAATTCGAATTAAAATTAAAAATCAGATCGAATCAAATTTTTATTATTTAATTTAATTTATTTTACTTTTTTATTTGATTTGATTTTTTTAAAAATATTTTGATTAATTGGTTGAATTCAGTTAATAAAATTTAAGATCAAACTAATTAAATTATTGTGTATATATATATAACTTATTAATTTATAAAATATATTTAGTTTATTAATTGCTTTTTTCATTTTATTCTTTTTTATTTTATACTTAAATAAAAATAAATATATAATCTGACAAGTTGAACCCTTAACCCCTCATTAGAATAGCCTATTATAATTTGACAAGCCCAATTTATATATAAGCCTTCTCTGTTTTAATGAAAAAAAATAACAAAAATTGGTCCAAGTCTAAGCATCCTAACATAAAACCCAAAACTAAATTAACTGACTTAATCAATTGTCCAATTTTAGTTCAATCCTTGTTTAGTTTAACTACCTCATTCATTTGATTCAGTTTACATTTTTAATGTTATTCGGTCAATTAATTTTACATATGTTGACACCAAACCAACTAATACTCACCTCTAACCATAGCACTGTTAAATATTAAAAATTAAATAATTAAAAAAAATTATGTATAAATCTCATGAAAGAAGCTTACCTACAAATAAGTTATGTGAAATTAAGAAATCACAATCGATTATATTAAGATTTAAGTATGATTTAAAATTACAGTGCAAAGATAATAATGCCCCTATTAAAAATATATTACATCAATCAAATAATTTATAACTATTTTATCAGTAGTTTATAACTATAATTTAATTTTGTATTTTTATAATTATAAATTCACATATTCAATAGTTAAAATGATTATACGTTACAAATTTAATACAAACTATATACAACTACCTTATTATAATTTACAACTATCACTTCAACATTTGACAACTATGACTTCATATATCTAATAATTAAAACGGTCATTTATTATTAACAAAGTTTAACATTAATTATTTATAACTATTTTATTAATAATTTATAACTATAATTTCACATGTCCAATGAGTATCGATAGTATTGTCTTTGCACTGTAATTTTAAATTATACTTAGGTTCTAGGGGATTTGTTGCGGTTTTTGAATTTTGTATCACTTATTTGTAAATAAGTTTGCTTTGCAAGATTTATAAGTAATTTTTCCTAAACAATTTAATTTAATATTGCTGTTGACAGAAAAATAATTTAACATTGCTATTTATTGTACTTCCTACATCCGAAATTATAAAATACTTTTAAATAAAATTTTATAAATTAATAAATCTTATTAAATACACTTAATAATCTTTTTTTTTCAAATATAAAATAAACTTTTAAAAACTACTTTCATTTGATACATTAAAAGGAGAAAATGGCATAAATTGAATAGAGATAGAGAAAGAATAATATTAAAATAAATATATTTAATAAAATATTAATCTTTTTAAAGTGTTTTATATTTTTAAATTTTAAATTTATTTTAAAAGTGCTTTATAATTTAAAAAGAGAGAACATTTCTTTTGTTGCCCGAATTTCTTATATCTATGGATCACTTCAAATAACCGTGTATATGAATTCACCAAGCATAAATAATAAATAAATGTTGAGTTTAATGCAAGCATGTAAAACGTAATGGTAATACATTAAGATGATAGTTAAGGTGTTAGACAAATATTAAAATAAAGCAGGGAAAATGAGCCAAGCTTGCTTAAGCACGAAAATTGCTAGGATTAGACTACTAAATGATGGAGTAAAAATGAATTTGGAACTTAAAAGGACTGACTTCAATGAACCTAAAAATAAAAGAGCCAACTCTTTTAGGCTCTATTTAAAAAAAATCAAGTAAGTATGTATGTATGTATGTATGTATGTATGTGTAGTTATACTCACTCTTTCTTTTTAATATTACAAGAGCCAGCTCATCAAGACAAGATTGAAGAAAATAGGCTGAGGCATAGGATTTTGATCTTAAGATTGTAGGCTTTTTGTATTTTGAGTAATATATATGTATAGTTATTGAATGATATTGCAAATTCATATGCACTTACTTGCATTATGTATTGGTTAATGCTAAACTATGTATTTTGAGCCTTAGGTTGTACTTACATGTAAATTGTAAAATCTAAAAATGGCCAAAATAGTAATACAAGTAAAAATATAATTGATGTTGAATGATTATGAAATCAAGGCTCCTCCTTCTATTTTTGTGATTAAAAGGTTGAACTTTAAAATATATGTGTTTGATGTGGCGATCCATTATAATCCATTGAGTTTAGTTTAGGGTGTAAATTAGACTTCTAGCACTTGGATTGAATTTTGAGGCACCCAAGTTGTTTTTGAATTATAAGAAGGAATAAGATGAAAGATGGATGTCCAATTTTTTCTTAAGAAATAATTTAATTTTGAAATTAGTGTCATTAGTTAGAATTAGAAAAAAGTTTTTTATAAATACAAAGATTGCCTCAATCAAAGTTGGACAAAGAAATGGGGCACATTAGAACATCAGAAGTTCACCCCAGTTGCTATCAATTGTAATACACCACGGCGCATGGCACAAAATGAAATATATGGAGGCGCATGTATGACAAACCACAATGCATATATGCTATTTTGCATTGATATGCCATTTTCTCAATAGGAATGCAAATGCTTTTTTATAAAATTATATTCCATGCTTCCAAAAATTTATTCTATTTTGATTTGTGATTTAGAAACCAGTATAAGAACGATTTAAGAGCTTGAAAGCTTGAAAACCCATGTCGTAAAATTTACAAACTTGGTAATCCTTTTAGGTTAATATTTTTGATTACCTTGATTTTTCAAGTTAATTGAAGATTAGTAAGAAAGACCTCACAATAGTCCACTTTACCAAAATAGCTTAAATTATTTGGTAAGAGGAAGACACATCACAGGCTTTATATATTCATTATCTATTTTTTAATTTTTAGATGTGATACTTTTTTTTATATATAATATTTCATCTACTACTTTTTTCTTCATTTTGTCTCTTCTTTTTGCCTAGGCTTGTGCTCTATGTTTTTTTTTATTTTCAATCTCAAAGACTCTAAGTCTATTCATTTTCCTCTCCTTCTTTCTCATTCTTTTGAATCTGTTTTTCCCCTTTACTTCGTCTTTCATTCATTCATTCCTTTTTTCCTTTTTTCTCTCAATTGAATGGCTATTGATACTATATTAAATATGTTGAAATATTTATAAATATTATGGATTTACATTAACTAACAAGCCCGGATGGATTAGTCTTTTTAATCTTATATAGACTATGATAGGTGGACCACACAAGTAGCCCAATAGATAGAGGCTTAACCTACAGTCCAACCTACAATCTTGTAGCCATCAGTTATTCACTATTTTTAACTGATTGAGTCAAGGATAATGCGAGATTAGATAATTAATTGATTAATTTATGAAGGTGGTTACTAATTTAGTTTATATAAATTGATTAGTTGATAACCATAAACACATGATATGTGTTTTCCATTATCTCCATTATCTCTGTACTCTCTGTAAACTATGTAGATTTAGTTGGTTATGTGTTGTCTATACTTAAGGTATCACAATCAGTCATGGATTCTTAGGTGTTCACATCACTTTACTCAATCTTATTTGACTTATATTAATTGAGATATAAAATCTAACATGTGGCATTAGAGCCTGGTTATGAATACTAATTTGTATATCTCAATTTATTATCTTATGCACATATTGATGATTTAATAGAAATTCCTTTTAAAGCATACTCAGATGTTATTAACGTGTTCACATATTGACAATTCTCATTCTATCCTTATCATTGAAAGTGAATATGAGATTTTGATTGAAATTCTAGCTAAATATAGTTATACTTGACTCCTCATATGATTTAAGCCATGTGGATCAATTACTGTACAAGCCTTTTTTTCCTTCCCCTTTATTCTTGCCTTTGTTGACGCCGAAGGTGAGTTACTGGTGCATTGTTGGTGCTTCTATTATCAAAATTGCCGAAAATGGCACTGTTCGGAGGCTACGTAAGGTTCTACAAGTTACTGACGTCATATAAATTTTTTTTCTAGTTGTTGTTAATGTGTTTGCTATGATGTCGTCGAAAAGAGGTTCAGGATTGTTAACAATGATTGTTGTGTTGTCGTTAGGAGCTAGTGTCGTCAAGGTTCATGGTAGAGCTATGCAAACGGGTTGTGAGCTAGCCCACACAGATTAGTGTATTAGCAGGTTAGGTTAGGCCAGCTCACTAAGATAAATGGGTTAGAAAAACTCAATCCAATCCATACATTGACAGACTAGTGAACCCACGGGCCAGCTCACAAAATATGATTTTATTTTTTAAAATTATATAAAAATTATAATCAATATATCATAGAAATAGATAATGATTTTTCTCATTTTTTTAAGATAAAATTTTAATATAAATCTAAATTATTTTTATCAATGAATTTATATTTGTAATTTCAATTAATAGATCTTATGAGATTAACAAATAATATATATTCAAAATATTTCCATAAAAACTAATAAATAATTGATTCATAAACTATAATAAAAATTTCATTTGCAAATTGTAAGAAAAATTTACATTATCTTTCAAATGTAACGAACATGATTAATATTTATAAACTATAAATTTGAGAAATATAGTTATTAGTGTAGATTTATAAGAAGATATATTATGATTAAAAAATAAATTAAATTTTTTTAAAAATAGGCTAACCCGCGGCCAACCTGTTTAGCCTACGGGTTAGCCCGTTTTAACCCATCATTTTTTTGGGTTGGGCTAACCCAGCCCGTTTTAAAAAAAGAGCTAATTCTTTCAATCCAACCTATTAAAATTTATGGGTTGAACGAGCTAGCCCGTCGGTTCAACCTCGTTTTTCTGGCTCTAGTTCACGGCATCACCATTGTGTGTTG